TGCCTGGACGATTGGTTGCCAATAACCATTATTGGTTGTGCCCTGCCAGACTTCAGTAACATCAGGTAAAGTAATATCCATTTCCACAAGTATTCTGGCCACCGAGGGTCTGGTTAGGTTGAAAGTAAGCAGATCTAGTTTCAAAAAATTCTCAAGGATGACCCCAATAGAGTAGAGAACCTAATGGTGAAAAAATGCAGCTTGAGACCAGTTAAACTAAACTATACCGGTACAGTGAGAGTTTCATGATTTGGGTCGAAATTAAGAGATCACTTGAGTAACTTCATTGATTTGCCTTCGGTAATAAGATATTTCTTGGAGAAAATTCTGGTGTAGTCTTCAACCACTGTTAGTTGGATCAACACATGTCTTCTATCCATGAGTCTCACTTTCCATTAGCTTAAGATATTTAGCACTCTTTCTGATAACATCCATAGGAGGGTGTCTCTACTGAAATTTTTTAATAAGAGCAAATTTGAATTTTTCCGTAAGGGTAGAAATTTCTGATTCAGAGAAAAAGATTGCATCTTTTCTACCTTTCATACTTCCCTTCTTAATAAAAGTACATTCATCTGTATCCTCACGAGATTCCTTATAACTTGAGGGAAATCCTACTGCAGACTCTACCTGAGGGTTACCCACCACGTGGGCAAAAGAGAATTTGTCCGGCTCAACCAAACAAGGAGGCGCCATCAGAGTAAGGAGAGCTATCGGCGTTAAGCTACAACGAATTTGCTGCGGCGGGAAAAACAGTGAGAAGCTTCAGGGAACTGGGTTGATGAGCGGCTCTGTCGCAGACGCCAGAGGCAGAGCCGAGCAGACGACATGACGTCGAACTGGGGAGCGGCTCTGTCGCAGATAGAAGCATGACGCAGATGTCGAGAGGCTGGACTCGTCGAGCAGACACGAACTCGTCGTCGTCGAGACGCAGACCAACGCCGACGAAGCAGAAAGGAGCGGAAGCTTCGAGTGATAGAATCAATGGCGATCGCCATTCGAAACATTAGAACCCTAGCAGAGTAGTTGTCCGCCATTTTTTGTTATATATATATATTATATATATATATATATACATACATACATACATATATACATACATACATATATGTTGGCTCGGGAAAGATCCGAGGGGCTCTAAAGAAACTCTCATAAAGTGTTTATAAAATAGGATGAAAATTTCTTGTCAGATCTTACCTTCCGGGTTTATTTTACCTCTTGCATTTTTTTACCACTTTAAGGCTGACCTTAGAATTGATGAACCTTAGAGAGCAGGTGACGGGTGATGGCAAATACTCCGACTATTTTTCTTTTCTTTTATGTACTTTATTTACTGCCTGCGATGTATATTGGTCGGTCGTTTGCTCACCCTTTAGGAGTCCTTTTAGTTGGTTTAGAAGCATTTTGTGCCCGACTCAAGTCTTATTCTACTCTTCTCATTTGCTTGGTCGGGTTATCACCTCGAACGGACTAACCATTGTTGTATACTTTCGAGGTGATTTACTCAGTACTCTTCGCGGAGATTGTCACTACTGGGCAGGGAACCATCTTTGAAGTTTCACTTGGCCTGAGTTTAGAGGCAAGCCTTTTGATGCTTGAGCTTTGAGGATCAATTTTTATTTTCGAACGCCGATCGAACATCTTGCGTCTTTGTCAGTTGTCCTATACGTTGCACTGATCGGGCTACTTGCATCATCGTCAGTTTTCAGTATTGACGCTCGGGTCATGTCTTAACAAGTTGAGTGTTGGTCGCTTGATTAGATCTCCGCCTCAGATGGGGCACCCTCTGTGCTAAGCTTATTAAGTTAATCTTGTCGCTGCTTTCAAAGGTCATCATCCAAAACTCTGTTCTGAAGTGATTTGCTGGGTGTCGTTCACGGAGCTTGTTGATACTGGACAGAGAACCACCTCCATAAATTTATCTCACCAAGTTCAAAGACAGACTTACGATGCATGAGCGTTGCAAGCTATTTCGTCTTATACTCTGGCTGATCAAACATCTTAGTGTCGCTGTAGGCTTTACTACCTGGGTTCAATTTCTCTGAGTGTATTGGCTAGACATTGAGGTGCATGACTCCTTGAGTTCCCCAAGTGTTGTTCAAACCTGGGGTTACACATTCAATTAGCCAACTCACATTTTCAATATTTCTGGAAACAAAGAATTTTAAGGTTTTTTGGATGTAGCCGCCTCTTCTATTATTTCCCAAGTGATGATATAAAAGCTAATTGATGGAAAAAATTTCTTAAGGTCATCTCCACCCTATGTTCGAGAGACTCCTTTGCGGGTGTAGGTCCTTAGCTTGTACGCTTCAGGGGCGACTCTATGGTTGATGATGAAAGGGTGTCTAGCAAAGTTTGTCGACCGACTATCCTCGAGTTGTTGGGTTGGCCTTCTTAAAAACAAGATCTTTAGGTGTAAAAATATTCTCCCAGACGTGCCTGTTATAGTAGCAGGTGGTGCATCTCTTGACTTCCTCTCGTCGAAGAGTTGAGTCTTTCATTATTTCTTTTGTGAGGTGGAGCACGAGCATTGCTCCTTCATCTTTAGTTTCCTGCTAGTCGCTTAGATTCTCTTTGTCGAAAGCTGAAGATGTTTTACCTGTTAATCGTGAAGGTTGTATTCATTTGACAACATCGCCTTCGTTTTGTGGGATCAAATTCATCTAGTCTGCACGGATGCGGTGACGGTATTGTTCGGGTCGCTCAGAGGACTGACCCAACACTGGCCTGGTACTAGGAATCTTTTACTCTTTCTGGTAGTTGTGCCCTCCAACAATTGGGCACTGGTTCTTCCTCCTGGTGGTTCTGTGCTTTGCCCTGGGTTGCCGCCTCTTGAATGACCTCCATTTTCTAACTCTTGGATCTTTTGTTGTACGAACTCTCATGTGCACTCCATGTCCACTTTGTTGGGTTTCTCTCATTGTGCAACTCTTCTTGTTGATGGCATGATCCATGTTTACTACACTTTTTATGATGTTGAATTAGAATTTATTCTGTGAATCACACCTAAGGAATAGAGTAGAGTGAGAGAGAGCACAACAGTAAACAATAGAGTGAAATTGTTGTGTAACCTTTTATTTATAAAATGATCTCTATTTATAGACAAAGGAGAAATAATATATGAAGTTATATTTGTACCCTTAATTTAAGTAGGGTTTGTACAGACTATTATATGTATTATACCCTTGTAGGCCTAGCATCTTATTGTTCTTTGGCCCGGTCGGCACGTCCGGATTTGGTGATCATGTCGGTCGACTATGCCGGTCAGTGTTGCCCGGCGTAATGCTGCCGGTTAGCTCGGCGACTGCGGGTCAACAAGACTGATCTGATCAAATGTGTTTGGCTAATCTGTGATAATTGTTCAGTCGAAGCTCGATCTCTACCAAGAAGTTTCTATCGATAGAGTAGAGCTATGCCATTGGACAGAGGCTAAATCACCATTATTCAATGGATAACCCTTAGATGGGAGTATCCTGGTGGGATGGCTGATACTTGTATTCTTTTGGTGGCATTTTGGGGAGACAGCTTAGTGATCCCAGTATAACAGTCATGGGGAATAGCCTCTCCTTTGACCTGATTTAGTTGCAGTGGCAGGTCTGGATGATTCTTCGTCTGCCGTATGGTGAACTGCTCGGGCTGACAACACCTTAATTGCTCTGGTGATTTGGGCAATCTCGGGTTTACTATATCCTGTTGATCATAGGGTTCTTTGATCTGCCTTTTGGTTGGCCCTCTCTATATTCAAGGCATTTTCTCTTGGACTGTTAGATCCCCCGAGATTCATGCCTGTAGGCGGTATGGTACATCATGAGGCTCATTCCTGGTGGCTGTTTCTCCCATGCAAATTGCTACAATAATTTTAGCTCACATTGTCTGTTTCTAATGTTTTATCCATGTATATGACGTAGTTATCTATCTAGCTAATCCTGCTGTATTGGATTTCAAATCAACTGTATGTACACTATAGATTCACAAGCACAGATTATAGAGAGTTAATTATGCATATTGAGACATACAACACACAATTCTCATTTATTTACATATATAACATCTAAACTTCTATATTTACATGCGTACCGCTTAAATCCTTAACCTCACATAAAAAAATACCACCTATAGTACTTTTTTAAGAGTGAAACACCCCTTTTCATGCATAAGTTTATGCAACCAAGGTGTTTCGAGTGTAAATATCAAACTTTGGGTGTTAAACTTTGGGTGTTAGATATGTACTTTGGGTGTTAGATATGTACATACATAAGAATGGTGTGGTATGTATGTAAATTTCCTGGAAGTATATCATTTTGTATTACTAAGCTTGAGCAATTGGGATGTAGCTAATGATTCTTATGCTAAAATGCTTTATAGATACATTACAAAGTTCATATTTTTTTTATTTTGTTTTTATCTAGGTATTTCCAGCCGTGGAAAAAATTATCTGTAAATGACTATTGGAATGAAGATTACGTCAGGAACACACAATATTTGTTCAGCTCTTTGCTCTTCATGCATGCATGATTTTCGTTCTTCGTCATCCATAGGTTCATCCAGTGACAGTGGATGCTCTGCTAATATTTTCTATGGTGGAAAAGGCTGACAGTTGTTTTTCAGTTGTTATGAATGGAACAATACGTTACAAAAGCAGGAAATGTGATGATTCACAGAATACATCTAGTGAAACTAGTAACATTTTAGCAGGCATGAGTTCAAGTCATAATTCATACTTCAAGAATGATGAATGCAAATCAACTCTGAAAGCCTCTGAAGCTCATGATTTTGAAGATCTGGAAGTTACTAAAAAAGAGAAATCTCTCCAGGAAAAAAATTATCAAGCTCAGTTTTCTGCAGATCCCTCAGGCCAAGGTGAAGAGCAGCTTGGATTAGAGTGTCATGGGGATAATATTTCATGCATTACTGGAGGAATAGGTGCCAATATTTCGGATTATGGTGATAATTTATACTTGGATAAGAAAGACATGAATTCTGGTAAGGTTTTGACCAACAATAAGAATGAACCTTCTATTTTGGATGCTGTTGAATGTTCTCTGGGGTCATTTTCTTCTGTTAGTTCTACTGAGAGGAAACATGCCACCCTTCTAAATGTTGAAGGTTCTACTATGAATGAGGCTAGAAGTTGCTCATCTTCTGAGAAATCTAAGATTGATGATGTATGTCAAGAAATTAGAACTAATACAGATCGTCAAATATCATCTGATAATGTCTCTGAAAGTGGTGATCTTAACAAGGCCCTTGTAAAAGATAATGCCTTGTTGGATTTGGAAGCAAAAAACAAACAGGGATATAATTTGCTACCTCTGGCAAATACTGAGATTGAAAATTCTGAAAGTACATTATACGATGTGAGTTTCGTGTATTACCTACCTCTTCTGCACTAGTTTATATTTATTATATGTTATAGAATTTATTGGAAAAAAGGATAGATATTTGAGGTTATAGTAATCATTAGGGCTCCTTTTTATGATTTCCGGCAACTTTGACTTTACTAGTTCAGTGATTGCTAAAGGATTTTTTATTTCTAAGTTGGCATAACTGGTTAATAGAAGGCAGACATCATATTAAACGTGCAGCTCTTAAAAAAATCAGGGGTTTATTATCAATAAAAGCAGTGTGGTTTCTTTTTTTTTTATTTTGCTTGTGATATAATAGAATACTATTTAATAATTTTCTCATTCATGTACATTATTCTTTATTATATATATCAAATTAATTCTCTGTATAAATTATCAAAACCATGATTATGAATAATATAACTTTCACAAATTTAATTATAATAAAATATATCTTGATTCATGATGATCTTCTTTAAAAGTATGTGCGATTAGGTTTTTTTTAAATCTTTCGAATGGTAGTTTTTCTTTGTGGATAGAAAAAAGTAACAGGTAGGAGGACCACTAGTTGCTAATATGTTATATGATCAAACGGTTGCTAAATATTTGATAAATTAACTATCTTGACTGATAGAATTTAGACTATTAATTAATTTTTGAACCATAAATATGTAATAAAATAATGTGGACCACTAATTAATTAAATTATTTTTAACATTCTCTCACTTGACCCTTATAATATTATTCAATTAATGTCATAATAATAAACATAATACATAATATGAATAAAATATTTTTATAAATCAATCAACCCTAAATACATTATTAATAAAAAATTAATAATCATGGCAGTTGTGTTTTATTTTTGTTATATATATATATATATATATATATATATATATATATATAATTATTGAGAATATTCAACAAATACATCTAAGAAGTGGGAAAATCATTCCTCTGAGGGTAGGTAGGCATATTGCTCAAGAGAATGTGAAGAAATTTGTCACTCGGGATGCTAATGGTCCTCATAGTGATTGCAACAAAAAGAAAGTTCAAAATCCTTGTCGCATGGTTGATTATAACGTGTTGGTATATCTTAAGAAGTTGTTAGCTTTGTTAAACATATATGTGTGCTTATGTTATATCACGAGCCATGAGAAATTTGGTAAAAGCTCCGTTAGAATTAGAAGTCCTTCAAGTATATTTTGCAAAAGAGAAGTTGAAACATCATTCCTTTGAGGATAGGTAGGAGAATGGGAATAACTTTGCCACTTAGGTTGCTACTAATCCTCATAGTGATTGCAATAAGGAAAAAGAACTTCCTTGTGGCAAAGTCGATTATAACATGTTGGTTAATCTTAAGAAGTTGCCAGTTTTGTTAAACTTGTATGATGCGCTTATGTTATTTCATGACCAATGAGAAACCTGGGTAAAAGTTCTGTTAAAGTTTGAAGTTTTTCAAATATATAATATCAAAGTTAACCTAAACCACAATAGAATGGAAATATTTATTATTGAATTCAAAAGTTAAAATGACAACTCTTCACATAAAATAACACAAACACACAAATGACCTTCTAGAGTGAGAGCAACAGGTTGGGTACCGACTGGTTAGGCGTATGGATTGCTTGGGATGATGGGGCAGCGGCTGGAGGGTTAGAGTGGAGTGGTGCAGTAGTTGGAAGGGTTGGGGATGAGTTGCAATAGGTTTGGGATGGTTTGAAGGGAAGCATTGCGGGCTTGATAGGGCTGGAGGGAGCAGCAGCCTGGCTGGATGGTGCTAGAGGGAGCAGCGGCCTGGCTAGATGGTGCTAGAGGGAGCAGTTGTCTGGTTGGAAGGTTCTGGTAGCGGTGGTCTTTCTCTATTTATGATTGAGCTAACTGACTTCAACCTTTCCACTGTGGTTGGGTGGGACTTCGATGGTTGTTGGATCAACGACGAGCCGTTCAAAGATCTATCCATAGTTTTTGTGTCAGTTCCGATGAAGTAAGTGATCCCCTCAAGGACTATCGATTTGGGTGCCATTATTGACCTCTAGTCGAAGAAGGCAGATGTTTTCACTGTAGCCCACTAACGGTGCTAGAAGGTGGGAGGGAGTAGTCGTTTGGCTGGAACGTTCTGGAGGCGGCTGACGACATCAGGGAAGGTACAGGGGTGGTTGATGGCAGCGTATGAGTTACAATTGGAGCACATTCTCGTAGTCGGATACCTCGAAAGGGGAAAACACTAGAGGCAAAAATTTGAAATCAGAGACAATCAAAATTTATATTATAAGAAAGCAAATCGACATATATATAATAGATGATATTAGATAGAAATAAAAGGTATTAGAAAAGGAAATGATTACATTCGAAAGGGAATAGAAAGTGAAAGGAATATAATAGGAAAAGGAGGTAGGCGACAAAGTTGGAAAGGAAGATCCTCTTCCTTGGATGGCAAGGCCTCCTGGACCAATCGACTGGCCTTAGAGATTCTTTAGTTGGATTTGATGGTCTAGCCCTTCCACCATTGCTAGCTACGGCAGTTAAGCTCCTCGTTAGTCTCCCGGGGTTGGGAGACCTTCAACTTTATTTGTTAAAGCTTCTGGTTTTTCATCTTTAGTCCTAGCAGCACTTGGATCCCACTTCCGACTATATTTCCTTCTATATAACTGAGGATTTTACTCCACTTGCGAGCATACATCCCTATTGATTCGCTCTCCTGGTGATCCACTACTGGATTGTGTTTGCATGTCTCACGTATGCTGCTGAATACTCCCATGGTAATTTGTGGTTAGCTCAACCTGATCGGAAGTGAAGGTAGCCTGAAACTCTCGAATGGTGGTAGCGCTAATGGTAAGTCCTGAAATACTTTCTGTCACGCCTGTCCCGTGTCTGGAGCTGATGTCTCTGTCCTATCATCCTCTGTCTTCACCAAAAATGGTCCCACCGATGTTGCTCTGCTGGCAAGAGAACTTGTGATCTCTGGCTTTTCTGAAGAGAAAAGGATAATGTGCTACCTATCCTTGGCAATGAAGTAGGTGTTTTTGAATATGTCGTGCTTAATTCTACGATCAAACTGACATGGTCTCCCCAATCCTTGGATACCACGTCACACCACAATCGATTTTGCAGTTGGCTCTCAATCAAAAACTCCACTAGGCACCTTCGGTCAATGTTAACTCTGTACTCCTTTAGCCACGTCAAAGAATATGGTCGGAAGTGCCTTTGAGTCATGAGACAACTTCTCCACCATCTATGTAGAGGTCACATTCCTGC